GTTCTAAGCTCTAAACTTTGGTGTAAAAGTTAGTAGAGCTCTTATCTCTTGTATTACTCTCTTTGTACTTGAGATAGTGGATTGGAAGCTGTGTCTTCCCCCAGACGTACCGCAAGGGAACTGGGTTAAAAAGCTTTGTGTCTTGTCTCCTACAAAACAAACAAACAATCGAACACACTAGTCTTAAACTTACTTGATCTATAAGCTTAGTTGGGTTCCGCTAAATAACTAAGTTGAGGTGTTAAGTTCATCACTTTGGTAACTAAATTCCTTACATATTCTCGCATACAAAATATATAACAGATGATGTCTCATTAAATTTAAAAAATCTGTTAGATGTAATATTATGTTTTGGGTTGCCGAAGGAATGTTTGTACGATTAGAGTTATATAGGGTTTTAGAGAGAAGGTTTAAAATCCAAATCTGGTATATGAATACGAGACATGATTTGGGTGCACGTTTTAGCTCATGATCCCAACTCCCAATCATTGCATTATAAATGTATCTACGTACGTACATAAATTCTTTTGAAGCAGTAGATTAGAGGACGTGCGGCCACTTTTTTCCATCTGGTTTTCATTGATAACGTTCGAACAATACAAATTTGGAATACTGAAGCCTGCGGAACACAGAGACCTACCTCCCCAAAAACTAAAACCCACAAGAATGGAGCTAAAACCCAAAAAAAAAAAACGGATGACATACGAACAACTAAACCATACACCAAATCCTACAACTCCTTCAACAAACCCAGAAACAAATCATAACAAGATAGAAAGGCCAGAGACTTAACAATCTATGATTAGTCGGATCCTTGCTATGAACTAAGCAAGAGAGCACGTGTAGCCACTTTCTTATGGTATTTTAAAAACATTGTTATATATTTATCTCGATTTTATCCCATCTATACTATTAAAAGTAAAGACACCTTTGAAAAATCGACTGATGTAAATTGTCTGCAACCTCATTAATGGCATTTTGGTAATTTATTTTTTGGTCTTACATCTATATATATATCAATTGTTACAAATCATATCACATATTAAATATACCCGTTTATTCTCTCTCTTCCCATTAATTACTCTGACAATATTCCATATTATATTTCATACATTTCTATTTTCTTATAAACCTTATATTACACAATTTCAATCTATAGATTGACAACATAAATATTTATTATAATATAAATTAATTATATGGTGTTCAGCTGCTCTCATACTTATAAATGTTTACATATTTATAAAATAAATTGTAATAAATTGTAATTGTAAATCATAATATATAATTCAATATATTCTATAATAAAATAAAATAAAAATTAATATTTTTTATCAAATAAAAATATATTAAATTATATTTTAATATAGTAATTTAGATATTATATTAAATATAATTTTTTATTCTTTTAATATATATTTTAATATTTTGCATTAATAAATTGAAGTATGTTGTAAACTCTATGAATATATGTTGTCATGAATATGTAATTCTATTAATTTATAGTTTATAAAATAATTTTAATTAAGTTATATATATATATAATATATTATTTATTGTAGTAATTTAATTATGAATATGAATAATGTATTTATAAATATTATAGTAATGGTATTTCTTATTTAATAAATCCAAATGAATTAAAATTAATTGTAATAATATTTAAAAGGAATTACATTTTTATTATTTAAAATAAATATTAAACAATAATATTTATATTTTACAGAAAAAGATACAAAAAGATATTGTCAAAATGAAATATTAGAAAAGATCTTAGTAATATCTTTGATATCTGATTTTGAAAATATTTAAATAATATATTAAGATTCGAATTGAATAATAACTAAATTTTTTATATGCAAGATAATTTCAAATATTTCATATTAACTTTTTTTCATATGTCGATATTATCATTCTCATGGTGACATTTAATGGACGAGATACGTTTTGTTAAGAAAATATTGCAAAAACTATTTTCTATAATTATATCTTCCTACTCAAATAAATGAAATGAAGGTATATAAAAACGAGGCTTATTTTTATTCCTGAAAAGAGATATTTAAAAAAAATTGTATGAAATATTCTCCCCTACATTCGCGTAACCTAATTGTATATCGTCTCTAACTATTATAAATATAGCATTTCTTAACCATTATATTTATAATCCCTTCAAAAACCTAAAACAAAAATGGCGAATAATTTGCAGTTGTCTTTCTTGAGTGATATAAAACCGAGGAAGACTGCTGTCGCATCCAAGTCAAAATCCTTCATACGTGGAGACATTTCATGAAAGACTAAGGAAGTCCATGGAACTAATCCTTTGTGATGCAAATGTAAATTTACCGTTTTGTATAGATTTTTTATTTAGATATCTTCATTTCGTTAAATTTTAACCTAAATGATAATGTTTTATGTTTATATAGGGAAGTAATCCATGTCTCGTATAACAAGACAAACATTCCTCGATTGACAAAAGAAATTATTCAAATGCTTATGATTTATTTTTGGTTATAAGTGAGGTCCAAATCTCAAATGCTTATGACGTAAGTCAGATGTTTGTTAATCCTGAAATACCAGAGATAGATGAATTTAAACAACGGTATTTATCTTCTTCAACAAAAATGTTTTCAACTTTATAGTAGTATAGACTAAATTATAAAACTTATTTATAGTCGCAGAGGTAATGATGATTCTCGAGCGTTAACCCTGGCTGAATCAAAATCGCAGAGATAATGATGATTCTCCATCGATCCGTTTTAGGATTATGTTTGTTTAGAAATAATGTTTTTAGTTACGTTTTGACAATCGCGTAATGATGATTCTCGAGCGTTAATCCTGGCTGAATCAAAATCGCGTTTTGTTTTCACCCAGTAATTTTCATTTTAAATAATATTTGATTTTTTTTGACGATTTGTTGACTGATTTATTTATATGAAAAATACATAGTATTGTATAAAATAGATCAATATACTATGATATAATAAACGAAAATCGATTTATACTATATTTGCTGCATATTGAAACTAGAAAATGAGATACTTGGAGTAACAAATCTCATTTGTTACTCCAGAATCTTGCAATATTTAAATTCTTCCTTATATACTTGGAGTTATCTTTGACTCTCATAAAAAATATTTTTGAGTTACCTTTGACTCTCCTAAATTAATTTAATATTTTATTTTATGGTCAACAACAAAATATCCGCTCTTCTTAAGCGCGGATTAAAATTGAATATTATTTTTATTGTTCAAAAATAATAGATGTAATTATTTTAACTAACATAAATAAACTATATAAGAAGCGCATGTCAAAATTGAATATTATTTTTATTCTTCAAAAATCATAGATGTAACTATTTTAACTAACATAAATAAACTATATAAGAAGCGCGGGTCAAAATTGAATATTATTTTTATTGTTCAAAAATCATAAATTTAATTATTTTAACTAATATAAATAAACTATATAATTTGATTAACATATCTATTAGATTTAACTACAAATTTGTAATACAATTTTGGGCATTTTCAATAGTATTGATTTTTCAAATTTACTATAGGCCATGGACCCATCCAATTTTGGATTCTATAAATTTCGGCAACTTAGCGTAGTGGTATTACTATTAACTGTTAAACTTTAAACTTCTTAACTAATTCAAAATATCTTCAAAAAATATTCCTTATTCTTCGAAAGAGATATTTTTTCAAATCGTCTAAATATTCTTCCCTACATTTGCGTAACCTAAATTTATACCGTCCCTACCTATTATAAATATAGCCTCTCTTAATCACTATATTTATCATTCCTTGAAAAAACTAAAACAAAAATGACGAATAATTTGCAGTTGTCTTTCTTGAGCGATATAAAACCGAGGAAGACTTCATGTCGCATCCAAGTCAAAATCTTTCATACATAGAGACATTTCATGAAAGACATAGGGGAGACCATGGAACTAATCCTTTGTGATGCAAATGTAAGTTTATCGTTTTGTATAGATTTATGATTTAGATATCTTCGTTTTGTAAAAGTTTAACCTAAATGATAATGTTTTCTTTTTTATATATAGGGAACTAAGATTCATGCCTCGTGTAACAAGACATACATTCCTGAATTGGCAAAACATATTCGTGTTGGAGTATGGAGGAACATTGATCGTTTCAGTGTGTCTGCCGCTGGTGGATCATACAGATCAACTCAGCATAAGTATCGCGGGTCAAAAGTTGATATGTGTTTCAGTGTCTCGGCCATGGACCCATCCAAGCGCGGGTCAAAATGTAATATGTGCTTTAATTTTTCATACTCTCACAATACTTATTTTTTTGATTCTCTGTTCAACCATAAACTGACTCGGTTATGTAAAACTCAATGAAAAGATCATACTAAAACGTTAATTATACATCAAATTCACATATAAAACTATCATATAATAAAAATAGAATCATTGATACATTTTGTTACAACCAAAATAAAATCCGCGCTTCTCAAGCGCGGATCAAAATCTAGTACAAAAGTAAAATCGTTGTATACATTATATCACGTCACGGCTACTCTGTTCATCCGACTCAATAGACAGTAAAAACCATTTTATTTCAGAAAAAGATAACGTATCTAGAAATCAGCTTAAATTTTGGTTTAGTTGGAGAAATCAAAATAATTGTATCTCCAACAACATTTCAACAAAACAAAGCAACATAATAGAATAATCATATTTCGGCAAACTGTCTTACTAAGATTTGCGTAAATTGATAATATATAAAAAATATCATGTTGTATATATAAATGTGAAATAATGAACATAGCAAAGTAACATTTTATTCTCTCTTGGTGACATCTTATTCTTGTTAAAAACTAAGGTGTAATTTACACTATATTGTCATTCAAAGTGGCAAAACATGGCCAAGAATCAAATAGTGAGAATAGATAGAGTCAGAACGAACAATATACATAAGCATATAGATATAAGCATATATGAACCGCGGTCTAATGATCGATTGTAATCCTTAATGAACCGGTTTGGGAGCCACAGGGCTAGAGAAATAGAAAGGTTCAAGGGTGTATAGGTTCAGGTTGTCACGGCTAAGGAACTTGGAGCTGTCAGAAGAGAGTGGAGCTCCGGTGACACCTTTGTTGACATTTGTTCGAGTCTTACACATGGAGACTGGAGAACTCTCAAGCATCACTTTGCAGCCGTTGATGTTCTTCACCTTGTGGGAGAGTCCGTACATGATGAAGTAGAAGTACCCTTTCAAGTCGGTTGGGTAGCTCGAGATTATTACCTTAGCCACTAGCTTTCCGTATGAGTCCACGATAGGACACACAACAATAACCTTGGCCCCTGTCAAGTGCATCACCGGTTTCATTTAGAACCGTTTTGGGCCCCCACATTATCAGGGTTCAAAATTAAATGTGTATTTTAAGTTGTGTTGAATAAAAAAACATTCTACAAAGATACGATTCAAAACAACTCAAAAAAAGTTTGTGCTCTCCAAAGTGAGTTACTTGGTTTACAATATTATTTTGTAGGAAAGATATAATGAAACCACGTGAACAAATCCTCTCTAATATCTCGCAAAAAGACGCTCCAATGGCGATAAAATTGGCTACTCGTAGGGTTTGAGATTATGAGGTTGTTGCGTGGTCTAATCCTTAATCAAAGATGGTTTCATGGTTTCTCATACGGTTTCTCGGTAAATGGAGTGGTTACTAGAGGAGAAGGAATCAACGATTTTGGTGAAAAGGAGATCTACAATTCTGGTGAAAAGGGGATCCGATTGGATCTGGTCTATCAATACGGATTCACGGTGATTTGCAGAATCCTCTGCTTTCGGTGGCGACAGCGAAGGATCTGCTTCATTAAGATTAACAAAGGATGGGAAAGAAATCAAAATATTCCAGAGGAAGATGAACGTTTTGATTGCAGGTTTATTGACCTAAAGAGATGGTACAAAAGGAGGAATTGGTTAAGTTTCAAATTGTCTCATGGTTGTTGTGGTGATGTATGGTTTATGGAATTATTTTGGGGTTGGTTATTGGATGATCTTTGGTTATATTTGACAAAGGAAGAAGGTCAGACGGTATTGCTAAATCTGTGCATATGGTTATGGTGCCAGTTTTTGATTTTTCCATATACTCTTGAGATTTTCATTTATAGGGAGGTTTTCTTAAATAATGATACGAGTTTGGTCATTCATAACGGTGGGCAAGGGGAAACTGATGGTGTATTAATTTGGGTTTTCATCCACTTCCAAGGGTCTGAATATTTTCTGGATCGGTGTGATCATATGTTTTTGTATTCTGCCAGAGACATAATTAACATGCAACAAAGCATATTACGTTTTTGTCTTGACTCTCTTGGTTGTCTTTCATATATTGAGTTGTGGAGATTTATTATTTACATAAGAAGAAAAAAAACATTATGCCGGGTGCTTTGGATATTCTTTATGGCGTCTAGGGAGCTCTACCTGAGTGGTTACAGAATTTATTTATGGATGATACTTTTGTGCATGTTTGTTAGGTTAAATGGAGCCAAATGGGATTTTACAAAGGTCACATATAAGTTGATGCAAACTTTGTATTTGAAAACATTATTTTCAATGGCTCTTAATTCTTTTTGGATTATACTCGTTATATGTTATGAGAAGTTGCTTAAATTTCCTTGGTATGACAAAATGGGTAAGACTTTATATACTCACAAGATTTATAAAGTATATAAATTCTGGTGTGGATATAAAATAATAGGTGGAGGTTTACTGGAATGTATTGATATGGGATCTTTTGAAACTTTTGGAACAATTGTTTATCATGAGTATTTTAAGTTGGAGTTGCAGAGGGGCTGGTAATTCAGATACAGTCCAACGTATTCGGGATTTTCGTCGTCAATATTTCCCGGATTTTTTATTTCTCATGGAGACGAAACAGAGATTTGGTTATATGGATGCTTTAAAAGTAAGCTTGGGCTATGATCATTTGCACACGGTCGAACCTTCTGGTCGAAGTGGTGGTTTATCCCTAATGTGGAAAGGTTGTTATACAGTAGAAATTCTATATAGTGATAATAGAATTATCGATCTTAAAATCACAATGGGTTCTTTAGTATTTTTTATGTCTTGTATATATGGTGATCCAGTCAGAGGAAGGAGACAATTTGTTTGGGATAAACTAATAGATATTGGTGTGAATAGGGACGACGCTTGGGTCTTGGTGGGGGATTTTAATGAACTAATGAATAATGAGGAAAAATTAGGTGGAGCTATCAGAGATGAAACCACTTTTTTGACTTCCGTAATATGGCTGAAGCTTGTAAAATTAGAGAAATGAGGTATACTGGAAACTCCCTTTCTTGGGCTGGTAAGCGGGATCATCACTGGGTACAATGCCGGCTTGATAGAACCTTTGGTAACGCAGAATGGTTCCGGTTTTTTCCCCAATCGTCTACTGAATATATGAGTATGTGGCCCTCTGATCACCGACCTTTACGTGTAGAGTTTGCATATGAACCGGAAATTTTACAGAGGGGTAGATTTTATTTTGATAAACGTTTATTTGGGAAAAGAGAGGTTAATGAGGCTATTATCCGCGGATGAGATGCTGAGAACATAAACTCAAATTTATCGGTTCTGGATCGTATCGCTCGGTGTAGGTCAGAATTATCTAAGCTTAAAAAGGCGAATGACTGGAATTCAAAAACTAGGATTGATCGGTTACAGAGTGACTTAGATAAAGAAAGTTCCAAACAATATCCTATTTTTGGTTTGATGAGACGGTTAAGACAAGAACTGGCGGCGGCTTATCGGGAAGAGGAGATTTTTTGGAGACAAAAAAGTAGGGAGGAATGGTTAAGGGAAGGAGATAGAAATACCACATATTTTCATAATGTGGTAAAGGGGAAAAGAATCAGAAATAAAATTTTGATGCTCAAAGATATATTTGGTAATGAACATTATTCGGAAGGATCGAAAGGCCATATCGCTACAGAATATTTTAGGGAGTTATTTACCAGTTCCAATCCAATTGATCTAGAAACATTGTTCGATGGTTTTGAAAGCAGGGTTACCTCCGAGATGAACACATTATTAGTAAGGGAGGTAACCGCTGAGGAAATCAAGGATGCAGCTTTTGGTATTAAAAGTAGTAGTGCTCCTGGGGAGGATGGACTTACGGGTTTTTTCTATCAGAAATACTGGCACATTATAGAACAGAAAATTATTCAGGATGTTCAAGGTTTTTTTAGAACATCCATCATTCCTGCAGGATGGAATCATACACAATTATCTTTGTTGCCTAAGACTGTGAATCCTACAGAAATGAAGGATATGCGCCCAATTAGTTTGTGCAGTGTCCAATATAAAATCATTTCTCGTATTTTATGTGAACGTCTGAAGACGGTTTTACCACATTTAATTTCAGAAACTCAAGGGGCTTTTGTGGGAGGAAGGTTAATAACGGACAATATTATTATTGCTCATGAGCTCGTACATGCGCTTCGTACAAATGAAAAAATTGGTAAAGAATGTATGGCCATTAAAACTGACATGTCAAAGGCTTACGATCGGGTGGAATGGAACTTCTTAGAAGTTTTACTAGAAAAAATGGGATTTCATAGGAAATGGGTTGTCTGGATAATGTCATGCATCAATACAGTATCTTTCTCGGTTCTACTTAATGGACGCTCCCATGATTTTATTAAACCAGAAAGAGGTATTCGTCAAGGTGATCCGTTATCTCCCTTTTTATTCATTTTATGTGCCGAAGCTCTAGTTCATGTACTAAATAGATCGGAAGCACAAGGAAAATTGCATGGTATAAAGTTAGCTTCGGGCAGCCCTTCTGTCCACCATTTGTTGTTTGCAGATGATAGCTTATTGCTCTGTGAAGCCTCTGTAAGTGACAGTGAAGAAATTATGAAAGGTTTAAAATGTTATGGAGATGCTTCTGGGCAAATGATTAACCCCTTGAAATCCTCCATTATTTTTGGAAAAAAATAGATAATGCTCGTAAACAGACGATCAAAGAGGTTTTAGGTATACAAAAAGAAGGTGGTGAGGGGTCTTATCTTGGCCTCCCTGAATGTTTTCAAGGCTCAAAAAAAGCGCTCCTCAATTTTATCAAGGAAAAATTAGAAGGAAGACTACAGGGATGGTACTCTAAAACGTTGTCAATGGGTGCCAAGGAAGTACTAATAAAATCAGTTGCTTTGGCACTACCGATATATGCAATGTCTGTCTTTAGGTTACCAAAAGGTCTGTGTGAAAGAATTACGAGTGTGATAATAGAATTCTGGTGGAGCAGTGGGGATAAAAAAAGAAAGATACCTTGGGTCTCTTGGGAAAAACTATGTAAACCAAAAGAACAGGGTGGTCTTGGGTTTCAGGATATTGGTCGTTTTAATCAGGCGTTGCTAGGGAAACAAGCTTGGCGAATATGGAATAACCCAGATTCGTTGGTTGCTCGAATACTTAAAGGTAAATATTTTTAAAATGGTGATTTTTTGGAATGTGGAATGGGGACACGACCATCTTATGCATGGAGGAGCATCATGCACGGAAGAGAATTACTTAAACAAGGTTTATATCGACATATTGGTACTGGATCTGACACGAATGTCTGGGCTGAGAACTGGATTATTGACACTATTCCACGGCCACCAATGTATCGCGAAAACAGTTCTATAAATTTAGCTCTTAAAGTCTCGGATCTGTTACAACAAGGGTCTAATCAATGGGATATTAGTCTGTTACAGCAGACTTTTACGCCTGAGGATGTGCAAAGGATATTACTTCTGAAACCATCAATGTTATGTCCGGACTCTTTTAAATGGGGTTTCACACAAAATGGTTCTTATACGACGCGAAGTGGATATAAATTATTAGAGGCTTTGGTGGACTATGATCACCCTCAAGGGCAATCGCTCACCCCTATGGAAAAAAAATTATGGCGGGAGTTATGGAAAACAAAAGCTCCACCAAAAATTAAACATTTTATGTGGCGGGCGCTATTAGGTGCTTTAGCTGTGAAGCAACGTTTGAATACTCGGGGTATTCTGATAGACCCAACCTGCCCAGTTTGTGGAAATGAGGTCGAGACTATTTGTCATGTTTTATTCACATGTGTGAAAGCACGTGACGTTTGGGATCAAGCTAATGTCCCAGTTCCTTTAGGGGGTTTCTCTAGAAATTCGACATTTTTAAACTTTGTTCATTTACTTAAGACTGCTAAAAATGAGTCTTTGGATCTCCATACAAAAAAGGTTTTCCCATGGTTGTTATGGGAAATTTGGAAGGCTAGGAATTCATTTATTTTTAAGAGTCAGGTATTAGAGTCTTCTTTTATTGCTAAGAGGGCTTATGAAGATGAACTCACATGGCACGATACATTTACTGGATCGAAGGATCAAGTGGATGATATGGTCTTAGAAAAGATTCGATGGGTGAAACCCCCCGCTGGATTCCTAAAATGTAATGTAGGATCCTCATGGGTAAACCAAAATCAGCCGAGTGGTGCATCATGGATTATTCGCGATGAAAAAGGAATCACAATCATGCATAGTCGCCGGGCCTACTCATACATGCACTCAAAAACCGAGGCTGACCTATGGGCTCTCTTCTGGGCAGTGGAATGTTTGAACAACCTTCACTTCACGAATATTATTGTGGAGACCTCCTCGGAGTGCATACATGAAGCGATGACAAATCCTACTGCACACCTCAGCCTCAGCCACATCCGTCACAGCATCCTCTGGCTTCTGTCAAGCATTGTTTCATGGAGTTTGGATCATACTCTCCCCGAACGTAATGAAGCTGCAGCGGCCATTGCTCTAAGTGTCACTCGGGATAGGCGCCATCAGTCGTATATCGCTCGGAATGCTCCATCATGGCTGCATCACCTTCTCGTTTTGGAGGCTAAATAAGTAAGGAAGTGGGTAATTATTGTTTCTATTATCTTATATTTTTGTGACGGTGTCTACTGACATCTTTCCTCTCGTTATTAGTCTCTATATTTGTCCACTTGAACTTTGTTACTATCCAGTGTTATAAAAAAAAAAGATATAATGAAATGACCGCATAATATAACATCAAATATGTGGTTGCACCTTTGATAGGGTAGGTTTCGTTGCCAGATTTGCACAAGATGAGACCTTCAATGGCGATTTCAGTGTTTGGTTTTGGCAAGCATGGAGTCTTAAACGGTGATGTGAAGGTGGTGGGTGCTGGTGTCACGTAGCAATCGGCAGTGGTCACAACGATCACCAGCGCTAGGAGGAGGGAAGCGGCGGTGCCTGAGGATGTCATTGTTAAAAGTTTTTTCTTAATTCGGGAGATGTTTCGTCGGCTATAATGTTGAGATCAAGACATGTGCTTAAATATATAGAAGAAATGTAACAGAAATATCGTATAAGATTATGGGACAGATGTCCGTTAGATGTTGTTGGAGGGCAAGAAACTTTATTGGATGCACGTTTAAATTCGTGTCAACGTAAGTAATTCGCCTGCAAAACCTAAATTGAGCATTGTATTATATGGTGATTTGATTATAAAACTATCTTTTGCTTGTTTAGGTGTGAGTTGTCGAGACTTTAAAAGTGTTCACGATTGTACACAGTAACATAAACCTATTATTCCATCAATTACTGTAGCTTGGTTTTTGTTCATAAAATATCCGATCACAATGGGTTCGGTTCTTATTTCAGTTTTGTTTGTTGGTCGGCCCAATTTACTTTATTTCCGTGGACAATGATAATAATCGGGCTAGTGTGTGTTTGTTGATGACAGAACCCTTTGTGGATTTCACAAAATTTTGGAAGGTACGTATATAAGCATAATTAATGCGGGTCTCTTTTTTTTTTTCTTTAACACTGATTCATTTTATAAGATCATGACCAAACTGGTCTTACAAAGTGAAAAAATACGGCAAAATTACACCAGTACGAAATAGAAGAAAAAAAACATTAACTACTAGAATAGATTGAACCATTCAACAAAAGAACTTTAATACACCTTAATTTTTCCTGACCCAAGATATCTTCATCGAGGTATAACACAATTGAACTGATAATCACGAGAGTGTTAGCCTTGCAACTCTTCCCACTAGAAACAAATTTTAGGATTTGAATACCTGCTTGACTCTTATATTGTTTCAAAGAATTAAGTAACCACTGAGAACAAAAACTTGGAAATCAATAAGACAAAGATAGAAATGATTTAACCTTGTAAATATGAGCTGGAAGTTCTAAACGTTGAAACTGGAGCCGGAGATATTAACATCATAACTGAACCGTTGCACCAAGACCAAGGGAAAACACTCCTCCTAAACACAGTTTCATCCCCATTTGAAATAAGTGAAAACAAAGAAACATACAGACCCGAGCCAGATAGAACCGAGGCAAGGGCGGAAACATAAGTTCACGTACAAGACCGACTTGGAAAGAGGTTTCGCAGACGCCGTTTCTCTGAACACCACGAATCGCAGAGCTACAACAGCAACAGAGACTCTCACACATTGTCAATAAGATAACCCACCATAGATCTCGGAACCAAGCAAGCAAGCCACCCACCCAAACAGAACACCAAACGGAACATGATCTCACGAAAATACATGATCGCAGAGCAAACGTGAACCTGGAAGCTTCAGCTCAATAACCTGTTGTGAGGGATAAAACTCACTTCCTAATTTAGATCAAGTTTAGATTGGAGAAAAGATAATCGTAGGCTGAATCCTGTTTAGAACTTATAGAATAAATACTATTGTATTGAATGTTTTTGGTAAAAGGTGATTACAAGTGTAGCGATCTATGATTACAAAGAATAAATAATGTTTTTAGAGTTCTTGAATGTGTAGAAAAATGATCGAGTCCGGACCCCTGGTTCTGATCTCCTCCTCCTCTTTAAATAGCTCTCAGCCACACTCCAACGATCTTAGCTAACTTTCGAGATTTGCTCCGTGAGTTAGGGGATTCTCAACAGTATCCTATTGACCGGGTCCTGCGCATCAAGCATGAGCTACTCCCATTAGCTCTTTCTGAATGAGGTCCGGAGTTCTCTTCCGTGACCTGTTTTGTTAACGTTCCTTCCTTAACAAAACAGCCTCCGGCTTCTTCTTAACTCCTTTCTCAAAGATTTAATTGCTAATGGGCTTGTAATAGCCCATTGTCGACTCTTATTACTCGAGCCCGTTAATTTCAGCTAACGGGCCATATTTGGGCCCAACAGTTGCCCCCAGCTTTCGAGAGAAGATACTTTGTCTCGGAAGCTAACCGAAACTGCCTGATCCTTATCTCTTTGTTGAGATAACGATTATTTTATATTATTTGAAGATACGCGTGACCTTAAACCGATGGTTCTGATTTCGTTCGGCAAGATCAACGGTTCAGATTTAAAGTGTTCGTACAGCTTAGTCCCCGATTTCCGAGATATGACGTGATATAAAGCTGTAGTCATTAACTGCAACTTTTCACCACCGCCCCACGTCTCGACTCAGTTTCCCAGGTAACTGTTCACTTTCTTCCTTAACTTGCTTAGGTTTCTTCTTCTCTTTTTTTTTATATATTTATCGTTCATTGTTTATGTTCCCGTTACAATCTCTGGAGCCTTCTAATTCGAAAGTTTCGATTTTTCGACTCGAATTTCTCTCCGTTTCTTTCTATCTCTCTGCTTCTTTTTCTATTCGTTATCATGACGCGAGCTAAGGAAGGTTCAGGATAAACTGAAATCCCTCCCCATGGTGTCCGATTTATGAAGGTCAAGCAGGAAGTCGGTGAGAAGATGGCGAAGGATGAAAAGAGCAACAAGGCTAGAGAGTCGATAGCCTTGAGAGTCACCAAGCGATCGAAGAAAAACGATGGCTCCAGTGAGAGTGTCTCCTTTGGATCCCACGTGCCCTCTTTATTAAGGAGCCAAGAAGTAGTTAATCTCATGGTTCAGGCTCAAGGTCATAAGGACTTGGCCAGGGTCTGTAAACCGGATGATACCCCGGAGACTGCTCCGGAGGGGTGGTTCTGCGTTCATGAGAAGTATATCACTATATGTCATCTCAGATTCCCGCTCCCCGATCTTTTGCTAGATCTCTTCGATCACTATCAGTTAGCTCTTTCCCAACTTTGCCCCTTGGTGATCCGAGTGATAAACGATTTTCTCACTAGGGCTAAGGAAGAGGGAGTTTTCGTTGGTCTACGTGACCTGATGAGTCTTTTTACGATTAAGGAGAGTGCCTCTAAAGATGGTGGTAGCGGCACCTACTATTTATCTTGCCGACCCAAGTTAGGTATTTTCAAATTCTCTGGTAGTGATGATGATTGGAGAAAGAAGTACTTTTATGTAAAGATCGATCCGCTAACGGTTCCCGAGGGTCATACCCTCAGGGTTCCCTGGTCTGATGCTTCGGGTTAGGACTCCTAGGGAACATTTGTGTAGCTTGTTTTTTTCACATGGTTTGCTAACCGTTTGATTCTTTTTGCAGATATTGAAGATCCTGATAAGCTTACTGGTAAACTCATCAGGTCTATGTGCCGCAAGTTGAAGCAGAGTCCTTAAACGTGGGGGGGCTTATACTGTTTCTCGTATAGGATCAGCCAGATTTCCAGAGCGATACGGAACCTCGTTTTTGGAACCTATCCCGGCCACATGTTTAGAAAGTAAGCTCATTTTATTCCTCTCTTCGACTGTATTAACTGTATGCTTAGGATTGTTTTTTTTGGTTTTTAAGCAAATTTTGTTGTTTTAGTTTCTGAAGGTAACTCGATTGTGTCTATTTCGGCGGAAGCTAGCACCTCGGAAACCGAAAGAATCCAATCAACCAAGATGCCTCTCCAACCACCCTACCGTTCTCGAGGTAAGCCAGCTAAAGCAGCGAGTACCTCACGAGTAAGTGAGAAGAACCAGGGGGTTCCTTCCTCAGCCAAGTGAGGGATGTTCTCGATGATGGATCTTCCAACCTGAGCAAAGATGTCGTCTCTATCGACGTTCTAAAGGTTCAGGAGATCGCTCTAGATCCTAATGTTCAGATCAAGGAAGCTACCCTTCAAGCGACTAAAGAACCTTCTGTAATCGAGCCTCCGAGGTCTAAGAGATCTCAGGTTGACCAAGTGGACAGACCGTCTAGGTCTTCCTCCTCTTCTTCCAGGGGAGGAGCCGTGTGCTTGAGTTTCACCCATTCAAAGCGTGGCTCTGTCCTGGACGATCCTTGGGGTTTGGCTACATTGATGAGGCATATGAAGTGGACTGGTTGTTCTCTTCCTGCGATCAACAATTTGACCAAATGGGAAGAGTATTTGGAGGTTTCTCACTGCTTGGGTCAGGTGAGGAACCTCAATTTCTTTCAATTTATTGCTCCTGGTGGTATCTTTGATTAATGGTTCGTGCAATTTCTATGCAGCTGGCTGGGGATGTCAACAGAGCCTAATTGAAGTTGGAGGACACAGTTAATAATGCTCCTAGAGCCGGATAATTGGCTCAAGTGACCGAGATGATGAAGGCTACCAATGAGGAGCTCGATCAGTCAAGAGCTAAGGTTGCTGAGCTTGAGGTGGTAGTGGAGAGGCTCGGCTCGAAGGCCGACATTCAAGCCGGGAAAATTGAGAGCCAGGCTATCGATATCCAAGTGAAGGGAAGAAGGATATCAGAGTTGGAAGCTGCTTAGAAGATTGCTGAACAACAGGTCCGAGACCTCATTGCCTCGTCGCAGGTTAGCTAGAGGAACAAAGAGGCCGAAGTTAAAATAGCCATCCGAAAAGGGAAAAAAGAGGTAGCCGAAGCTTACAACAAGATCTTAGCCTCCGTTAGGGAGAAGTTTGCCAAGAAGCGTGAGGAGGTTAGCCTTCAAATTTATGCTCAGGAGCTTCAGGCCAACACTGTCCTTCTCGAGGAGATGCTGTCCAACGAGATCAAGAATGTTGATGAGGAGTACAAGCGACTGATGTTTTTGATCCCTGAAGCCACCGCTGCGTACGAGAAGGCTCAGGTATCCGACTTCTTAGCGAGCAAGCTATCTCTGCCTCAGATTTCGGAGAGCTCAGGTATCTTCGAGATCAACATGTTTAATCTATCCTTTTATGGGGAATATGGTTCTAACTTGGGTCTGGTGGATCTCGCTTGAGCCCAGTCGAGGCAACTATGGAAGGAAGCGACAAGGAGATAGGCGATGGAGCCCCAGCCAAGGAGAAAGAACCAGGTGAGGAGGATAATGGCGAGGAGAAGGGTGCTGATGAAATGGAAGTTTAAGAGATGGTGTTCTTTCCGTCTCTTTATGCCTTACGTGTTTTCTAGACTTCCGCCCGATGGGCTTTCTTTGTTTTTCA